AAAAAAAAAACCCACCAAAAAAAAAAAAAAAAAAAAAGAGGATCGGGCTTCCCAAAACAACAATACAGTGGTCTTCTCAGGGTGTACACACACTGGATGTATCTTAAAATGTAAATGGATGTATCTTAAAATGTATCTGACGGCATTACGGACGACCGGACCTGGATGAATCTGACCGCAATTACGTCCACAAACAAGTGAAATAAAAAAGAGTCTCTGGTCTGATTTGCCCCCTGTTCGTTCTTCTGACACAACTCATTTCAAAATAGAGTGTACTACCCTTTCCCCCCGAATAGAACGTACGATCATTGTGCCTGTATTTGAGTCGACTTTCAGTCCACATGCTGCAATAATGACCGTACGTTCTATTCGGAGGAAGATGGTAGGCCGATCGTTGTCAAGACAAGCTGGTAGCCTCCTCGCTCCACCTACTCTCGCTTCTTCTTCCCCCCCCCACCCCCGCCCTCTCTATAGGGCGATGGCCTTGAGATATCATCGTTAAACAGACCGGAAGCGAGGGTAGGACAAGAAACCTTTTCCCCCACGTGGCCCGATTCTTCAGTCCCTTCTTCCCCCGAATAGAACGTACGGTCTTCTTGGCGGCATCTGGACAGAAAGGTGTCCAAATACGGCTATAATGACCGTACGTTCTATTCGGGGGAAGACGGGTAAGTCCCACTTGACCCAACGACTCTTCACTAAGTCCCACTTGACCCGATTCTCCACTCCCTTCTTCCCACGAATAGAATGTAGTCATTTTGGATGCATCTGGACAGAAAAAGGTGATCCGAATACGGCTATAATGACTGACGTTCTATTCCAGGAAAGACGTGTAAGTCCCACTTGACCCGATTCTTCACTAAGTCCCACTTTGACCCGATTCTTCGAGTCCCGCCCGCTTGACCCGACTCTTCACTAAGTCCCACTTGACGACCCGATTCTTCACTTAGTCCCACTTGACGACCCGATTCTTCACTTAGTCCCGCTTGACGACGCGATTCTTTATTTCTGGCCGTTGTTCTCCGTATAGTGTATGGAGTATGGACAGAGAACGGAGAATGGGGTCAAGTTGGACTTGGCATCCAGCAAGTCTCCGCAGGAAAGAAGATTCAATTTGATTGTCTCATAGGTTAACAGAGTCAGAGCAAGTCTCAGCAGGAAAGAAGATTCAATTTGAAACTGGAAGAGAAGAAGGGGGGTTGGGGGGGGTTGGGGAGGGGGGGGAGGGAAGGAATTGGATGATAGGAACTTCAACAAGTGAATAGTGAGCTCGTCCTCTGCGGAGCAACCAATGCTCTTCAGGGGTCAAAACTTCTCGAAAGGCTTAGGCAGCCAAGTATGTGTGTGTCTATGCTCTTGACCGAGGTTCCACTTGCCCCCCCTTTTTTTTTTTTTTTTTTTTAATCACAGCCAAGTATGTGTCCATGCTCTGGGCCTATGTCTCAGTTCGAGTCAGCTCTGGGCCG